AAAAAAAAAATAAAAATACTACAATACCACTAAGTGAAAGCAAGCGAAGTGATGGACCGAAGGTCCGACGAATCTTCGAGCTCATCATCGAGCAGCGATTCGGAATGAAACACGCGCCGCGTGCACCTCGATCGTCGACCACGGATACCGGGCCATACTCAGCTTTAGACCTCCCAAGGCTCCGGGCCTCCCAGTTCATGTTCCTTGGCCACACCGAGCGTTAGACCCCCAGGTTCGTGGCCACCGCACGTGTCAGCGCTTCGTCGTCGTCGTTCCTTGTGGCCTTACATCGACCCAGACCACCAGGATTCCGGGGCCCCCCATGCGGCACGCTCGCATGGTCGTCGTCTTCGATCGAATCGGACCGGACGTCGCTCGGCTCAGGCTCCCGTGGACCATGAACAGCCCGGGCGCTGCCGCCCCACCTAGGACGATGAGAGCCATGTCAGCAGAGCTGGCGGCGATGGCCACTGCCTGTGGCTTGCCGGAGCGCCTCCAAGGATACCTTCGCAGCCAGAAGGTGCTGTCCGCCGGTTTGATGGCGGCCATGGCCGACTCGTACAAGGAGGTGGACGACCTGCTCTATGAGCCCTTGAAAGAGGGCGTGGAATTGGATGGACAGGAGTGGAAACTCCAGCCGGACGAGGGGCCAGTGGTCCGGGCTGCACTGCGCTTCTTGTGGCAACAATGCCGCCACCAAGTGGACCAAGGAGGCCAGGCCGGAGGGGCCATCAGTCACCCCGGAGGTGCACAACTGCCAGCGCCTGGCACTACAGCGGCGGACCCCGCGTCTGCCAAGGCGGCACCCCCCGTGCCTCGGGAGATTCCCCCGATCGAGCTCCAGAAGCTCTTGAAGTTCTATGCCGACACGGAAATTGCCGGCCGCAAACGTGACTTTCCAATGCGCGCCCTCGTCGGCGCAGAGAGGGTCATGGCGCGAATCTGGCACGAACGGTGGATCACACACCAGTTCACGCCGGTCCAGCTCCATGAAATCCTGGAATCCAGGTGTTTTGACAGCTCAGGCTCGCTCAACAATTTGAACAAAGAGCTCAAGGCCAAGCCCCAGGCCCGATTGGCAGTTGACGATGAGCAGAACACCATCGTGGTCGAGGAGGAGCCACAATGGAGCCCCAAGGGGTTGCTGAGTTTGATGGATGCGTTGGAGGCCATCGAGCTCGGGTGGACCCTCTGCCAACTGGGCCATGAATTAGACATCAAGGAATATGTCGGCTGGTGGAGACAACTCTTTAGATCCCGGCCGGGCAAAATCGAGCAGATTAAAGCCTATTGGTTGGATGCCGGGTGGCGCGTCGCCCTCACCATGCGACAAGGGCACGATTTCACCAGTGCCTCACAGGCCATCATGGATGACACCGGGGCTCTTCAGGCCGCCTTGATGAAGGACCTCGCCATCCCAAAGGCTCCGCCGAGGAAGCCACCAGCTCGATCCACCCAGAGCAAGGGCAAAGGAGGGGGCAAAGGTGACCGGCAGGAGTCACAAACTTGGTCCTCATCACAGTCCTCCAGCGACCGCCCATGGAAGAGGGAGTGGACCCCATCCCAATGGAAGTCACAAGACAGCTGGCACAGCCAGCCTTGGAAGCGCTCCTCCGCTGGCAAGCCCTCGGGCTAGGGACAGCTCGGGGCTCCTCCTGAGCCAGGGGGAGTACCCGGGCCGAAGCGGCAGAAGACACAGACACAGCAGACAGAAGGCCGGCTGAGCCGATACATCGCCCCAGGAACACCCACACCGAAGCCGACCGCCAAGGCCTGGATCGTCCTCAGTGTCTTTGATGGCTGTGGGATTGCCCACGAGGCGGCCGATGTCGTGTTGGGCAGCCGCATCATTTGGCACCGAATCTCATGGGAGATCGACGACGCCTGCATGGCCATCTCATCGCACCGATGGCCTGACCTCGAGCAGAGAGGAGACATCTTCCAGGACCAGCAGGACTCCCTCAGGGACCGCATCGATGAGATCGACCCCAACCAGGAGTGCACAATCCTCCTGACGGCTGCGCCGCCGTGCCCGGACTTCAGCCGCATCAGACCGGACGCCCCGGGGAGAGAAGGCCCGGAGGGCCAGAAGTTCGACAACATGCTCCGCTGGTTTGCGGCGCCCAGCGCCATCTTCAAGGAGAGGAAGGTCTTGCGCATGTACGAAAACGTCATCATGAGCCGCAAAGCCGATCTTCGCCACTTTGAGGCAGAGGTGGGCGTTCCAGCCATCATCATGGACGCCCAGGACTGGGGACTTGTCAAGCGACCCCGAGTCTTCTGGACAGATGCAGGGTGGCAACGATTTGGCGAGACCGCCATGGGTTGGACGATTCGCTGGACGAAGCTCTACGACACAGACCACCTGACGTTCGAGTTTCCCAGACCCAGTGGCATCCATTCTGCCCCCCCGGTGGAAGCCCCCGAAGTGCCTCGAAGAGGGCAAAACCCTGCCGACCCTGACATCCCCGGCACCAGGCCCTGAAGGGCGCCCTGCACCAAGATCAGTGAAAGGGAAACTGGACTCAGCAACGTTCCACCGATGGGAACTGTCAGGGCGCCAATTCGCCCCGTGGCACTTCCGCCACGAAAACCTGTTCGAGAATGAACGGGGAGAGCTTGTGACTCCAAGCATCCTGGTGAAAGAGCGCCTCCATCACCTGGAGGACGACTTCACGGCACCAGCCAGGGACGAAAGAGAGAGACACAAGATCTTGGCGAACAGCTGGCATTTGGGCACGGCCATCCTGGTCATGACAATGCTGACCTGCTTCCCGGCAGCGGAAGCCTCCTTCCAGACGAGCAGAGAGTTGAACCCGCTCGGACACACGGCCATCGACACCCTGGCATCGATCTGGGCATCGGGACCACTCGCAAGTGGACCGCACAAGGGAGAGAAGAGCGACCACTGGATGACAGTGTGCACATGCCCGCACCAACACTGGCAGGCAAGCCAGAATCGAAGCCACCCGTCCGCCGTGGCCGACCCACTCGAACCGGGCCTGCAACAGACCATCGACCTATGGCACCATTGGCACCAGCGGCTGCCAGCCCTCCGGGCACAGTTGATCGAGGAGATCACGGACATGGCACTGGACCTCGAGGAGGACCTCCAGGCCTGGCACAAATTGAGACCTCAAAACATTCGCATCGTTCTCGACCCATCGGGCCCGAACCGAATTCATTTTCCACTCCTCGCCAAACTCCTACACAAGTTCGGGTGGGAGGACCAGACACTCCTGACCGAAATCCAAGAAGGATTTCCAGTACTGGGCAAGATGAGCCCAGGTCTCGGCTGGGAGAGGAGAGAAGACATGAAGATACATGAAGTACGCACAGCCGATGCGTATGTCAACATTCATGCAGTTGAATGAAGAACACGTACTCTCACGATTACACCAAACCAAACCAGACAAGCACTGGAAGTCCCTGCTGGAGGAGATCTCGAAAGACATCGAGAAACAAAGAATGATTGGCCCGTTGACGGCCCCACCGAGATGGGGCATCAAAACGATCCCTTCAACCCATCACACAAACACACAAACACTCAAGGAGGGACCATCACATCACGTCCCCACAAGTTTTGCATTCTCGGTCGAGCAGATCGGAGCAGACGGACAAACCAAGGTCCGAAGGTGTGAGGACTGGAAGCGAAGCAGGCATAATGAGACAGTCGAGGGGGAAGACATCCCACCGACACACAGGGTCAACACATTCATTGCAGTCGCCAATGAATTCCACTCAAGAGGATTCAACACAAACCTGTGGGGGGCTGATCATGAATCAGCATACCGGCAACTCCCGGTCGCCGAACCAGACCACACACACGTGTTGGTTCGAACCCCCGGAGGATGGACGCTATGGAAACATAGGTGCCTCCTTTTCGGGAGTACGGCCTCAGTGTGGTCGTACACACGCACAGCAGACATGATTTGCTGGCTGTGCCGCGCTCTCACTCTCTCCCCAATGGTGCACTATGTGGACGACTATGCGTCGATCGAACCGGAACAAACGATCCACTCAGGTTTCGACTGCGTGCACCACATCATGAAGCACGTGGGCTTCAAATTCAAACCGAGCAACGACCAACCACCCGCCCCACAGCAGTTAATCCAAGGTGTCATCATGACCATCGATGCCGCATCCTTCACAGTGAGCACCGAAGCCGGTCGCATGCAACGCATCACAGCACAACTGCGCGAACATTTGCACAAAGCAACAATGTCCTCTGACGAGGCCACCCGTCTAGCCGGTAAGTTGCAATTCATTTCCGAGGCTACTATGTGCCAGATCATACGATGTTGCATACAGCCACTGTATGCACGTGCAAGTGCACCAGTTCAGCACGCACAAATTCCATTGGGCAGCGGAATCACAGACGCTTTGCAAACGTTGTTGCATGTCTTACCAACCATCAAACCAAGAACATTCAACTTCATCCAGAAAGCTTGCACAATTGTGTACGCTGACGCATACTTCCAGGCTGGAGATCAGAGACTGTCGGTGCGCACGGCACTGGAGCAGCCGGGCTGGACAGCAGAAGCCAGCAACCTCATGAGAAACGGTTGGGGCTTCGTACTTCGCCAACCGAACGGCGAGTGTCACTACGCCCACGGCGAGATCCCTGGCCGACTCTTGGGACGATTCACGACCAGAAGGGCATTCATTTATGCATTGGAGATCATAGCCCAACTCCTGTGCATCATCGTCGGCATGCCAATGATGGAAGAGATGAGCATTTGCTTCATCGACAATGAGCCGGGCAAATTCGCACTCCAGAGAGGCTTTGGCAAGGACACCAAAGTGAACCGCCTCTTGGGACTCCTGTGGAGCTTCGTCCACGAGTGCGACCACAAGCCTTGCAAGCTGGGAAAGAGTCACTTCTCAGGCAAACATTGCCGACGCAGTGAGCCGAGGGGACATGTCCACGGCCGAACGCCTCGGCTGGAAACGGATGGACCATTCGTGGGACGACCTCTATGACACCTTCATCGACGCCACCAACTCCATGGAGAGAGCGATGAGCCTTGGAGCTGCGCTGGCCACAACTTTTGGCCGGGTGCCACGGGGTCAGGCGGCCAACATGGCAGAGTGACGCCTGCCCTGATGAGCTGCTGTGGCACCAGACCCAAAAAGGGGCGCAGCAATGGAGGCTCACGGCATAGCATAGCACGTGTCGTTGAGAACGGTCAGCGGCCAGCCATGCTATTTGATGACACTGAGCCATCCTATTCTGTCTCAATGAGGTATTATGAGGTATTGAGGTATTTGTTAAATCCAGGCAGTGGAAATCTGCAGGAAGCTCCACCCGTTTCAGTTGCCGTTGCCGTTCCGAGAGAAGTCTCTGCGAACTTGGATGCTTTGGAGGACCGTAGTGTCGAGATAATGAAGGACGTGTTTATGTCTAACATCAAGTTTCTCAGCTCCACTTGAGCTCTTTCGAACAGTTCTAAACACCATTATTCCCATCAAGGACAACTGCCGTTGATGGTCAGGACGATGGGCGAGACTTGGATGCCGAACTTCAAGCCGTTGCTGAAGAGGCCTCTTCAGGGCAAGTCTTGGCTGGAAGCATTCCCGGTTGGAACCTGTAGACAGATTGAGACATGATTGGTCTTTAATCACCTGGAATGGGTAGCCTTTAATGCAGGCTGCCGAGTTGGAAGCCCAGTTGGAAGCTGCAGTGCAGTCGGAGATGGCTGCTTTGGAGGCCGAGGCCATCCTGTGTGCTTCTTGAACCGTAAAATACTATGCAGATCTACTGACTCTACTTTTTGCTTTTTGTCCTTCAATGACAAGGAATATAGTGCATTCAACGAATAATGAGTCGCACTGGCAAATGCGGAGTCTTGTCCTAATGGAGAATCATTCAGGCCCAACTAACTCACCAAGACTCGAAGTGATTGTTCTCAAGATGACCTGACAAGGCATCCCTGGAAGCGCGTGCTTCACAGGCACAAAGATCTCTCCAGAGCATCTCAAATTGGATGAAGCTTGTCGGATTGTCCATGCTAGCCACAGAACAGTTCATGGCTGATTCAATGAATGTCAATGGCTGTGGCAACCCTGCAGGATGAGACTGGGGGAGCTGTTGCCAAGAAGAAACGCAAGAAAAAGATCAGGCAAGATCAAACCAACATACAACAAACAAACAAACAAATACACAAACAAACAAACAAACATACATACATACATACAAACAAATAAACAAACAGACACAAACAGACAAACAAACAAACGAACGAAATATCATCATTCCTATTGTATACTATATATAGACATCGAATCTGAGGTCATCCATTTAATACAATCATTCATTAAAAAATAACTAAATAAACTATATCAATATAAGTATCCTATTAATTTGTTTTTAAAAAAATTAGATATAAATATATAAATAATATTCTAATTACGAAAGGTAATTTGAATTATTTGAATTCTTTTTGCTTTAGTGAAAAATTTATTATAATTAGGAATTGGGATTGTATATTGAATTTGGTCTTGTAAGAATTGATTTTATTCGTCGGGGGATTTTTTCTTTTTCGATTAAATTTTCTTTGTGTACGGTTATTTGCGATTATTTATTTAATTTTTTATGTTTAATATATTATAAAAATATTTTATATGTTTTTATATAATTTATATTATTAATTGTAATTATAAATATTTATAAATTATAAATATATTTAATGCATTAAATATTATTTATGAAATTATTAATATTTGATGGATTTAGAAATATATATTTTAAATAAATAATATGTATTTTATATATATTTAGGTAAATAACGTTATTATTTAATTTAGGTTCGTATAATTATTTTTTTAAATTATATTTATGAGGAATCGTAATTAAACATATTTATATTTTTTTTTCTTATATATTTTTTATTTAATAATTTCGGTTTAAAATTTTGGATATGCATTTAGTTGCAATTTTATTTATATTTTTAATTGTTATATTCGGCATGAGGATTATTATAAAACCCATTTTGATTTTTATATATTAGATGCAATTTGGACGTTGTTATATGGTTGTAATTAATATTTAGGATGAAACAATCGATTTTGATTGACCTTCGATAAAGCTATTAATAGCGTTTTATTATGGAATCCGTACCTTCGTCCATTGTATTCCGAATACTATAGTGGAACGTATTATAAGGGTTTCCGGGTCTCGACTCTATGTATGGTCCGTAGTTTTCTCTTTCGACCAGACTAGTTGTTTATGGCGGACCTCCTCCTAGGTCGTGTTTAACATATTCGATTGCATTTGATTAAAATTCATGATGCATTTAATCTATATTAATTTGTTTGGAATACTACTAAGCCACGAGATACATTGCTTCAGGACAGAGGTAAGATTTGGAAGATTCTTCGTAATGCCATATAATATATTCCACGGAATTATATGTTATTGGTTGCATAACTACAATATATCTTTGATTACAGATCCGCATTTCATTGGTTCACATGATGCCAAATTTGGTCAAGCCGCCCAATATGATAAACATGAATTTCAAATTTTCATCCAGGAATTTCAACTTTGTGCATCACATTACAGAGGTAAATGGACTCTCACTTTTGTACATGGCACACATTCCATATGCATTGATTTCATATTTCTTAGGTCCCATCAGACACTTGGGAACAAATATGCGGCCAAGGTTCTCACGAGATTCGAAGGCAATTTGGGGAATGCCGGACCACATCATCACCCATTGGTCCTTTCCTTACCCAGATGGTTCGTACCTCCCAGACCTCCATCGAAGCAGATTCTCATCGACCGGAACCGCCTGAGACACGATCTTCAGCACCAGAATGAGAACTGGCAAAGCTTTAAATGGCAAATTCACAATATGCTTGATCATATGACCATGAACCCCAAGTCTTCCGCCATCCAGGTTTATACGATCGTTGAACAAGAGCTTCGTGATTTATGCATTTCACTTTTCTCGAAATCATCGGTTGCCCGTCAACTCTGCCCTCCGGCACGATCCTTATCCGTACAGATATGGTTTGCCGTCTTCATAAATAGGAAATATGTAGCTACCTTCGATAGATTACATAAATTTTTTCGTAAATAGAGTCATCTCAATCGTAAGAATAGATTTGAGACCTTTCTCCAAGACAGTAAGCCGCTTGTATTGAGTAATCGTATGCACGAATGGTACACACGAATTCGTATATTGTGTCCCAAGCAAAAATACAAATACATTCAAATATTTGATGCACATGGAACACCCATATCACAGGAACAAAAGCTTGACAGATTCATTGACTACTTCCAGATTTTAATCACTGATGTCCAAGCCCCATTGCCCCATCCACCGTCGATTCAAAACCTTCCGTTCAATGAGGCCGATGTGTTACATTAACTTTGTCATCTCCCGGTCACCAAAGCTCTGGCTCCTGACGGGTTCCCAGCACTGGTTTGGAGACACTTTGCACCACAACTCACACCTGTCGTGTTCGATTGCATCCGACAAGCTTGGAGTGCGTCACTCAATATTCCCCCTGAACGCTAGTCGACGGGATGGTTGCACCTTCTTGCTAAGCCTAATAAAGCCCCGAATAAACCGGAAGCCTTGCATCCTATATGTCTTCAACACCCAACCAATAAAGTCATGTCAGGGATCCATTGAAGATTATTCCAACAACACATATTCCCCTCCCTCAGAACACTGCCGCTGTACGCCTATTTGGCACACCGGGGAACCAAGGATTGCTTGTTGATCATCTCTCGCCATTGCCGAACGGTGAGAGCACTGCGCAAGCAACACAGCAAGGATCCTCTGTGGGGGGGCATCCAAGTATCATTGGACATGGAAAAAAATTCGATACCATTAGTAGGTCCCTGGTCTCACGAACATTTCATGCTTTTGACATCTCCCCAGACCTTCAGGTTCTTGCGCATTCCTGGCTGGCCCCTCACCAATATTGCATTCCGCGAAAGGAATTGATTAGCAGATTCCAAGCAACAGGCGGTATCAAGCAGGGCTCCAACACTCAAGATCGTTGAGTCCACTGACCTCCTTTTTCTCCGCCCCCTGGCTGGGGGCGTGGGCCTCTGGTGTCCAAAGTCTTCAAGACCCGACGTGCCCGCGCGCTCAGCCAGGCGGGGCCTCCCATGGCGCCCTCTCCGGGCACCCCAGACGGCCTCGCCTGCGGAGCCACTCGCCACGCCCACGCCGCCCCCCACAATCCCAGCCCATGCAAGTCGATGATGGCCGCCCGGCCCGGGTTTTCTGCCCTGTCTCGGGGTGTTTATGTGGCGATCCCGCCCGGCACCGGGGGTGGCAATCCGTGGCATCGATACAAGCTCACATCGATTCGCATCTCGTCGGCACATTGCAGGGGGAGGTGCCCTCTGCCTGGCTTGCAGCCCACCACCGGACGCGATGCCTCCTTTGCGGCTTAAGCGTCTCGGCACGGCGGGGTGTCCACCCTACTTGCCAACCGGCCCTTCGAGCAGCAACGGGGCCTTCCTGCAGTTCGGCTGCAGCCTCGGACCTGCCGAGCTTCTCAGCCATTCACGCGGGCCAGACCCGAACTCTTCGACGTGTCCCGGCTGCTGCCCGACCGCTCTGGTCCCGGACTCTCTCCAGAGCTTTGGCAACTGCCTCCCACACCAACAGCGCCCGAAGCTGGCAGGAGCTCCTGATGCTCCCACAGACTGTCTTGGATGCATCGCCTCGCGGCGGCCCCAAATATGCCAAGGCAGCTGCCGCTTATACAGTCGATGGGACACTCGCCATACGGCTCCCGTGCGGCACGGTGCCCAACGAACTGCGGCCGAGAGACGGGACTTTGCTATGGGGCTTGCGCGGGAAGGGTTCGACGGCAAGGCTTGTGCAGCCCTGCTTGCTGAAGGCCTTTGCCGTGACACCCCTCAGACGGTGGCCGCGCTTGGGGCGCTCCACCCTCCCTTTTGGCCCTGACATCACTCCAGCTGCTGTCAGCCGTGCCCTGCGCGGGTTTCCGACTTCCAATGCGCCTGGCCCCTCAGGCCTGCGAGTCCAGCATCTCCGAAATGCCTGCCTCCCTAACAGCACCGACGCGTTCATCGACCACCTTCAAACCATCGTGGGTTTACTCAGCAACGGACAAGCATGTGCAGCTGCTGCCCCCTTCTTGGCTGGAGCCAGTTTGGCTGCTGTCCCGAAACCACGTGGGGGAGTTCGACCGATAGCTATCGGCGAGGTTCTGCGACGCCTCAATGGAAAGTGCCTCATGGACTCGGTTCGCGGCAGGGCCCGCGAGTATCTTTTATCAGCGCAAGTGGGGGTCGCTGTGCCTGCCGGGGCTGAAGCCGCCGTGCACGCTGTCCGGGCTTGGGCCACCCGACACCGCGAAGCGGACAACAAAGTCCTCCTGAAGCTCGATTTCGCAAACGCGTTCAACAGTGTCCAGACAACAGGCGCTTCACCATGTGCGGTCACAGTTCCCTGAGCTTGGCCGGTGGGCGACCTGGTGCTATGGAGCCCCCTCCCACCTCCAATTTGGCGATTCGACCTTGCAGTCGGCAGGCGGGGTCCAGCAAGGCAACCCCCTTGGGCCTTTGTTTTTTGCGACGGCTTTGCAGCCTTTGGCC